TTGTATCTCAGGTGTTTGTTGTATCTCAGGTGTTTGTATCTCAGGTGTTTGTTGTATCTCAGGTGTTTGTATCTCAGGTGTTTGTATCTCAGGTGTTTGGTGTATCTCAGGTGTTTGCTGTAACTCATGTGTTTGCTGTATCTCAGGTGTTTGCTGTAACTCAGGTGTTTGCTGTAACTCAGGTGTTTGGTGTAACTCAGGTGTTTGGTGTATCTCAGGTGTTTGGTGTATCTCAGGTGTTTGGTGTATCTCAGGTGTTTGATGTAACTCAGGTGTTTGCTGTAACTCAGGTGTAATGTCCGTTGGATTAATGCTCTATCTTAGGCTTTGGGTTTTGTTCTGCAGATCATCTTTTGATCTTGTCTCTACAGGGACACCTCTGGTCAGGGCAGGTTTTGTACCATCTTCCGCTCATATTCCCGTGGAGCTCAGGTGAGCACTAACACCTGCACAGAATACCCAGATGTTACAAACTACCTGTTTCTGAGGGACTTGGTCTATCCTCAGGGCATCCTACTAGTGTATGACATCACTAACCGTTGGTCCTTCGATGGAATCGACAGGTGGATCAGGGAGATCGATGAGGTGAGTCAGATCACTTTAATTAACCTAACATGTCTTAATATTCTCAGTCATCCAGGTTCTATCAAATCAAACAGAAACAAAACATCTGGACTTGGATTCTCAAGTCAAAGGCTATCCTGGTGTGCAGAGCTCCAGCTCTGAGRTCCATCTGCAAACACATGAAGACTAGGCTGGAGCCAGTCGTCCTTCACACTGGAGGCTTGTTAGCCTTCATAGCCTCTTTAGCCTCATTGGCTTTGTTAGCCTCATTAGCCATGTTAGCCTAGTTAGCCTCATTAGGCTCATTAGCCTTGTTAGCCTTGTTAGCCTTGTTTTAGTCACATGTCTGATGTGTCTGACTGGTAATTTTTCTTCTTCTCTCAGCGTGTCATTCTTCAAGGTTAAATTTTCAGGTCAGTCATGTGATCTACTTTTTTCCCAGCATGCTCCAGGTGTGCCTCGGATCCTCGTGGGCAACCGTCTCCACCTGGCCTTCAAACGCCAGGTGCCCACGGAGCAGGCCAGAGCGTACGCCGAGAAGAACGCCATGACCTTCTTCGAGGTGAGCCCGCTCTGCAACTTCAACGTGATCGAGTCGTTCACGGAGCTGTCCCGCATCGTGCTCATGAGGCACGGCATGGAGAAGTTCTGGAGGCCCAACAGAGGTGGGTGGAGCCACACTAACTCACAGCGTCTGACCTCGGGGCCMAGGTGTCTCCTGACTTGTCCCCGTGTGTCCTCTGCAGTCTTCAGCCTGCAGGACCTGTGCTGCCGGGCCATCGTGTCCTGCACRCCGGTCCACCTCATCGACAAGCTGCCGCTGCCCGTGGCCATCAAGTCCCACCTCAAGTCCTTCTCCATGGCCAACGGCATGAACGCCGTCATGATGCACGGACGCTCCTACTCGCTGGCCAACCCGGCCGGAGGCTCCAAGGCCAACAGCCTGAAGCGCTCCAAGTCCATCCGTCCCCCTCAGAGTCCGCCTCAGAACTGCACCCGGTCCAACTGTAAGATCTCCTAACCTCTGCCTCGTACAGGAAGGAGGCGGAGCTTCTGCACTTCAACACTTCTTATCAAGTCCCTGCAGACTCCAGAGGTTCACACTTCATCCACTCACTGATGGTAGTACGCTACATGTAGGAGGGGGCTGACGGAGGCGGGGCTGACGGAGGCGGGGCTGACGGAGGCGGGGCTGCTGTGCACCGGCGCCACCATCTCTGACCACCATCAGCAGGCAAGGTGGGTGAAGTGTCTTGCCCAAGGACACGACTGAGACAGATGGGATGGGGGATTGAACCGKCAACCMTCCGGTTACAGGACGACTCCCCTAACCATCACCACCCAGATGAGGATGGGGCGGGGCTTCAGAGTACAGCTGCATACATTTCCTCACTGCAACCATCTGCTCTGGAAGCTCCGCCCACTGTGGGAGGAGTAACTACATGTACAGACTCACATTTCATCAGCGCCATCACCTCAGAGTGTTGTTCACGCCCACACACAGGCCACGCCCACACACRGGCCACGCMCACAGCCTCGCCACCCCATCTTCTTCTCTTCCTTTTGGTCAATCAGCTAAAGTTTTCAACACTAAGAACCATCAGACCAGCTGAACCAGACCTGAACCAGGTCAGTCCTGACACCCTGACAGACCCCCTGAACCAGACCTGAACCAGGTCTCAGATCCAAACTGCTATCACACCAGTTTGGACTCAAACTGAGTCCATGTTGGTAAACCTGGACCTGCAGAACCACGCAGGTCCAGATTCTGCTGAGCTCTATGTTCTCCTGCAGAGGTGCTTGTTGCCATGGAAACCAGGCAGACCTGGTCTGTTTATGGTGGTCTGGTCTCTGGAGCACATGAAGCTCAGATCTACACTTCCTGCAGGGTTTTCTCCAGATGAAGGTTCATCATGTGGTCATAAATCAGCTGTTTGCTCAGGAGCTTCTCTTCATTGACCCTGATCAGTTTGTCAGTCTGTACCCCCCCCCCCCCTGTGGAGCTGAACCTGGCCAGGTAAGTCACAGGTGTGGTCCAACTGCAGCTCAGCAGGTGTTTACTCTGTCATCCTGCTGACCCTAACATGAACCATGTCTCCTGGTGATCACCGAGGAAAACAATACCTGCTTATCTCAGGAAAACCATCCATTAATTAACTCATTATCTAAAAAAACCATCGACAAATTAACTCATTATCCCAAAAAACCATCGACAAATTAACTCGTTATCTTAAAAAACCATCGACAAATTAACTCGTTATCCCAAAAAACCATCGACAAATTAACTCGTTATCCCAAAAAACCATCGACAAATTAACTCGTTATCCCAAAAAACCATCGACAAATTAACTCGTTATCCCAAAAAACCATCGACA